GGGGCGAAATATATCGTGGGGAAGCCTTCCACTTTGTAGCTGTCGCTGGGTACGTCGTTGGCTGTGGCGTCCATCTTGGCAATCACTAGGTTTTTCTCACCCTTGTACTTTTTGCCCAGAGCCAAATAATCAGGCTCTAATTTCTTGCAGTGGCCGCACCAGGGGGCGTAAAACTCGATCAGGACGTCCTTCTGGGTATCCATGACGATATCGTCAAAAGTTTTTCCTACAACCACCTTAACAGGTCCTTTGTTGTTCTTTGGCACCGGCTGGGACTTGATGATGGGTTTGAGCTTTCCTGTGGACAAAATTTAGAGTTTTAGTGAAATTTACACATCTGTCAATACAAACTCTAAATGAACAAGTTAAGTCCTTCATGCAAAAACCCCACACAGATTTTTAGCACTTGCCTTTCTTAAAAGCCACGACAAAATCTCTCAGCACTTCCGAGTCAAACTCCTCGGGCTCCATCGCATATTTTTTGCCTCCATCTGCCAGAATTCCCACATTCACTTCCTCTCCGCTCTCACTCAGGCCCAGGCCCTTCAGCTCTTCCGCATAATCCTCCTCATCAGCGATAGCAAATGTATACTCTGGGAAGTCTTTGGCTACATCGAGCACCTTGCCCCTCCAGAACTGCGTAGCTGAAAGTGAAAGGAGACAAGGCGTATGTGTTACAGCACAGAACTCCTCCCGCATGAATGTTGCTGCTATTCACAGTAGTTGCAAGTGTAAGCAGATGACTCCTCCACCCTACTCGCCTTTTCTGTAGTCAAAGCTGAAGTCAACGCCATAATACACAACCACCAGGGGTCTTTTCGTGTAGCGTTTAGCATCGTTGCTTGGTTTTCTGTGTCCCACAAGAGGAATTACATGTTTTTTGAAGAACTCTTGCACGTCAGACACCACCGTCGAGTCCTGTGTTATGAAGAAGAACGTGTTGATGTCAAATGTTTTCCCCCCCCCAAACGCAGCACTGCTGACATTTGCAGATCACAGTAGTGCAACAATCAAAACGATAGCTGCTGCTAGGCGATGCAGTGCATTTATGCACCAACGGTGACTGAACGAAAGCACAGCCATTTGCAATGCTGATGAGTTTCATACACACTGAAACAAAATTCAAATCAGTCACAACAATCTGTTGGAAGTAAAAGACTCCACCTTGACTGAAAACGTGCGAGACGATGGCTCGTGCTTGGAGCGGAATTTTTCAGGCTGGACAATAACGACGTGACCGGGAGAAACTTTGAGCAGTTTGGCCACTTCGGCACTGAAGGAGTGACGGAAAGTGAAGTCCTCCCTTAGCGAGTTACCTGCAAGCCAAACAGCAGTGAATACAGTTAATACATATGCAAATCCCAAAGAACTCCAGAGAACTGAAGATGAGTGATATCAAAACCCAGAGGAGAGGGGAAAAAAAAACAAAAAACTGTACGCTATTTTTATGGAATTACTTACAAGCTTCAACGTAGATGTCATAGGCTGCATCCTGCTCGCTGGAAAACACTCCGACTATGACAGCATCATCGCCATCTTTGATGAGCTCCTGGATCTGTTTCGCTGCCTGTACCTGCTTGGAGGGCGGCCCAGCCTGCTCACTCATATAGTCAACAATCCCTATGGAGAAGGTGGAAGACATGGATCAGCTTTGTTAGAGGATGAAAAGAAGCCAAATGTACATGCTGTGTCAAACCGCAGTATACATACTACACATTTTGTGACCTACCATTTTTTTCTCTGGGTCCGTTGTATTCAAACACCTTGCCCTTCCTGAAGATCTTCAGAGTAGGATAGCCGGTGACCCCGAAGCGTGAGGCGAGCTCGCTTTCCACTGTGGCGTCCACCTTGGCCAGAGGGATGGGAGGAGTGCGCTGGCTCAGTTCCTTGGCCGCCTTCTCATACTCTGGAGCCAGACGCTTACAGTGTCCACACCTGGAGGTGATAATTAGTTTATTACTTCCCCCCCTCAGAGACCATCTACAGTTTATGGCATCTAACCAGTACTTCATAACTGACTCACCATGGGGCGTAGAACTCCACCAGGATGATGTCTGCGTTATTTACAGTGTCATCAAAGTTGTCTTTGGTCAGCACCAGTGTGGCTTCAGGAGGGGGCTTCCAATCTGGTTGAGCCACCTCTTTAACACGCTCCACAATGGCTGCAGGAAACTGATAAAATTAGCCATGCCGGTGCTTCATTTGTTTAACAAAATGATGCTCAGACTGGACGAACCACTCTTACCCTTCTCTGTCCGCTCTCCGTCATAGTCCACAGGCTCCCCGTTTTTAAGGATCTTTATGGTGGGATACCCAGACACATCGAACCTGCTCCCCAGACCACTGGCCACTGTCGCATCCACTTTGGCTACAGGTATAGGAGGGTCATTCTCCTTGAGCGTCTGGGCAATTTTTTCATATTCTGGGGCAAACTGCTTGCAGTGACCGCACCTAAAGTATACCAAAAACAAAGGGACAGAGATAATGCAACAGGATGTAGACAGGAAGAGGCACGCTGTAAAGTTTGCATGGCTCATTGGTTACAGTTTGAAAACAATCAGAGCTTCTTCTGTTTCTCCAACTCACTCAGACTCATGAGGATTTCAGTAGTTTGGCACATCCAACTTACCATGGAGCGTAAAACTCCACCAAGACCGTGTCTTTGCCCTCTATGAAGGTGTCGAAGTTGTTGTCGGTGAGCACCAGCACCCCGTTCTCTTCTTTCACCTCTGTATCGTCGTCTTCATCATCCTCTTCATCGTCACTGTCCTCTTCATCAGTCTCCTCTTTGCTTTCTTCAACATCTAAACACCAAATAAGCAAGCAAACAGAGCACACACTGATTTCAGTCCGTGTCAGATCCACTACAGCCTGGATTCATTTCTTGCGTGCATTCAGTGAAGACCCTAAAGTGCATTTATTCAAGTGTGTTGACATTAGCGGTCCTGTTAGCTGGCAAGCTAACACAACTACACTAATTAGCTCGTTAATTTTAACACAATAAACCGACCTTCCTACTTCAATAAATAGTTCAGCTGCAGGGTTGTACAAATGCCCACACTCACCCTCTTCACATCTGCTGACAGTCGCGAAATGTGCAACGCCAAGCAGCACAATTAGCAGCAGAGCAAGCTTCTTCATTGTGTCCACAGATGATACGGCCCCGCGTCAATCGTTGTTGCTGCTCGATCACGAGTAGCCGGCTAATTAACTTAGCTAATAAAAAAGGCTGATGAATGTCATCAAAAACACTGCGGGCTGCACAGACCAGCCGCCCGGATCAATACTGATGTGTGGCCCCACCAACCTTTAGCATACCTTTCATACAAACTAGCCCTTCAGAAAGCACACAGTTCACCACCCCCTCCTCCTCCCCTGTACTGGAACTTGTCTGACTTGCCACGTCGTGATTGGACGCCATCATCGACTGTCCTCCAATCACACGTCGCCACTCAATTCCTGAGGCTGAAACGTTGACAGATACTATTGGATGCTTTTGTTTACTCTTTTCTGGCTCACGGCAAAGTTTTTCAAAGCGTTTGTTTGTTTAGTTTCATAATTTTAAAAGTATTTTTTATGTTTTAAATGAGTGTTAACAGTACCTTAAATATATATGGTACACAAATAATAAATAGTCACTGCACAGGACTATTTTTAGCCTGATGTTTAGAGGATTTAGGGAGGAAATTATTCATTAAACAGGAAGAGATGGCCTGGTGATCTGTCTTTACACGTTTACAGCTTCCTGTGTTGAAGACAACAGAAACCCATAAGGGTCATTTTCATATCTTACTGTTCCAACTCCACTTCTTTTTCTTTCGACAGTTCCCTTTATGGGATGCCACAGCAGTTAATCTACCTCCATGCATCTCACCCTCCCCTGTCACACCAGCCCTCTGCATGGCCTCCTTCCCTACTTCCATAAATGTTCCAAATGTCCATACCAAATATCAACACTGCTGAAATCTGGTATTTATACTGGACTGATATTAAGTCAACAGCATTGATACTTTGTTTCTGTCCTCTGAGTTCAGTATGTAACCCAATGAATTGTTATTGTTGGTTTGTTTTTGTTTTAGAAATGAACAAGTATACCTTAAAGATGCACTATGAAAAATGTCTGAACACTTTTGTGTTGCTTGTATCGACAAGCCAGTATCGACATAGGCAATACTGGCCCTGTGTTTACTTGGTATTGGATCGATACCAAAATCTGGAGTATTGAACAGCACTACTCTTTGGTCTTCCCCTTTTCCTCCTACCTGTCACCTCTATCTTCAGAATCCTTTGGCCTCTGTTCCTTCTCCGTGCATGTCCAAGCTGTCCAAACTGCTCAACCTGATCTGTCCCTCTGATGCCCTCATTTCTAGTCATGTTAATTCTGGTCACTCCCAATGAAAATCTGACCATGTTAAGCTCTGTCACTTCCAGCTTAACCTCCTGTATTTTTGTAAGAAAGCAAAACTTTTATTCGTATAGCACATTTCAAGACAGACATCACAAACATCAAAAAGAGAAAAAAGAAAAGTTAACCAAACACAAATCTAAAAAGATGAGTTTTTAACTGTTTGTAGAAAGAGACCACTGAGTTTGCAGATCTCAGGCTCAGAGTGAAAAACTTCCAGAGTCTGTGCAGTAAAAAGCTTTGTCACTGCCACTGTCTCCAAATAGATTGATGGATGGATGGGTTACAAACTTTTGTGCTAACAAGTTTTTAAAAAGTTATGCTACTACTGGGTAAAAATAACAAGTTAAATGTACCTTTTTGTAGATAAATTCAACAAAAACATTAATAACAGAGATTATAGATTATAGATATGAGATTATATCTCTCGGCTGGCCTGGGAACGCCTTGGTATTCCCCCGGATAAGCTGGAGGAGGTGGCTGGGGAGAGGGAGGTCTGGGCTTCTCTGCTTAGGCTGCTGCCCCCGCGACCCGGCCCCGGATAAAGCGGATGAAGATGGATGGATATTAATAACAGCAGATTTGTTGCTTCAAACATTTTAATCATGACTTTTACCCACAACCTCGATACCAAGAAGAAAAGAAGTAGAAGGTTTGTTATTAATATATCGTGCTGTCCTATTCCACATGCCTTTACAACAATTAACAAATATAAGAGTGAACAATGAATTCATGATTTGCTATCTCCATGAGGACTCTAGTGTTTATCTGGGACTGCTCTCGCAGGGTCTTCATGGACCAGAACTTTCACCACAACCTCTGGTGGTGAAGTTGTGTAGGCGGTCTGACTTTTGCCGGCTGACTCTGGGCATTTTTTGCCCTTTAAACTATCATCAGATGCCACAACAAAGTTGGAGGAGGGGTTACATCCAGTCTGACCCCTCTGCTGCAGGATGTCCTTGTTAGCCTGGGACCTATAAGTGTTATAGTTAGTCACATGATTACGTTATTCACCTTTAGTACCTGCTTAAAAATAATACCTACAAACTGGGTGAAGCCTTTTCTATTTCTGTTACCTGAACAGGTGAGACATAGTTGGGGTTCCTCCCAGATTTAACAAACATTGGTCATCTGAATGTGTGCCATTCATGATTATCTGTGACCTTGCTGAGCCCTAATAGAATCACACAGAGATTCAAATATGTTGATTTTACTCCTTAAATTTATTTTTTTGTGTATCTTTAAACAATCAAAGTTTATTTGTATGGCACATATATAGACGGATTCACCTGTGAGTCCATGTTGGAGGGCTCTGGTGTGAGGGAGATGACAGGACTCTCCTTCCTGTAGCGATGGGCTTTGAGGTGCAGGCTGTCAGAGAGGGCATTGAGTCTGAACAACAGTTCGTCCACTAAACTTTCACACTCCTCGAGATAGTAGGCCTGAAAAAAGGGAAAAGTCTATTTCTATATTGGAAGGAATCAAAATAATTTAGTCAACTGGCACATTTCTAGGAACAAAACAAGAGCTACTGACCACAATCGGAGTGTTTTTAAATTCAAGCTATATCTACCTACATAAAGCAAGCTAACTGTTCTGCATTTTTTCTTCTTTTTTGAAGCTGTTACTTACCCTCCCCTCTGTATGGTTATCAATTCGTGCTTCTTCATGTTGCCCAGTAGTCAGCTCAGAGACCCTGAGTCTGATGTAGTTTGCCAGTTCTGCAATGGTGATCAAATTCCTCCTGCTGTGAGATCTTCTGGCACTTCTAACCAGTGAGGACATCACACCAATCACCTACAAGAAAGACACAATTCTTACAGAACAATGAGGTGATCTCAGATAGGGTTGCTGTCTATCACAGAAATCAACCTTTTGACAACAAGTTTTACAAGCCCCCCCCCCACACACACACACACACAAAACAAAACAAAGCAACCAACCACATAAACAAAAGGTAATATTATGGGAAACATGTACCACTGCTGTCCACACCACAGCAGACAGATACAGAACTCCACAGGTGAATACATCGCAGTCAGAGTGGAGGAGGCCTCTGTTATTGCTGGTGGCTCTGAGTCCCCGGTAGAGGACGCAGGGCAGGGTCCTAAGGAGGACGTGAATAGGGCTGACTGCCCAGGAGCTTTGAATGTGCAGCAGATGACCCAAGCAGGACGATGCCATCAGCAGGATCACACCTGAAATCTAGCACAAGAGAAGATGCAACAATTTCTAGTCATTTTGGCAAGAACACTTTGCAAAATATATCAAATATCACCAATGTAGGTGCAATAAATGTCAACTGCTTTATTTTGCAGCAAGTACTATTACAGTGCTTGGAGTGAAGACCTTTCCTAAGAAGAGTTATAAAGTGTTTACCATTGGCCATAAAAGACTTGAGAATAAGCGGGAAAGGAGTTTAGCAGGGGTGGCAAAGGTCCTGTTCACCCTCAGCACAGCCACACACTTGATGGTGAGAAGGAAGAGCATGATGCCACGCAGAGTACGGAGAAACTGTAGAGGAAAACATATCTCTGCATTCTTAAAATGTACTCTAACTACAGTGCAAACAAGCTGCTCATAATGATCGCCTCACAGGGTTTATTCTTTATTTTCCAAGAGAAGGTGCTGTAAATTTCTCTCACTTGTTCCCAGGAAGCCAGGAGGTGAACGTCCACACGGCCTCTGTGGTTGTTTCTCTCCAGCAGCTCTGCAACGCTCATGATAACAGCGGAGTGATAAATGTGACACACATAGTGCACAAGTGTCGCTGTGGGCACACCGACCTGCAAAAGACAGAAAGAGGGAGAAAGCTGCGTTCACTGTGCTTCATGGATAATTTGACCTTCAGATAATATTTCTGTGTGTTTTGCTTGTCAGGGTTGTTAGACAAACAGCCACAGGTTACTTTATTCTTCCAGTGAGGTTGTCGTGATCTTGTTTGGATTAGTGTGCGCCTGACTGAGAGCTGGTGTGTGCGCCTGCTTTCTAAAGTCTTACAAACATTTATGCTGGAATGATTATTTTGTCTCGGGCAGACTTACTTCCACCCAGCTGCAAGGTGTTGTCCAGTATCCAATCAGCCCTTGCTGTCCCATACTGGACACTTGGCATGAGATTTGTATGAGAGACAAGAAGAGGAAGAGAAGCTGGTCAGAGGGGAGGAAGGAGAAAAAAAATGTATTCAAATGTGTTGTAAACCTTAATCTGTAGCATCTTTTAAGACTCAGTCTAAAAGTTAGTGTAGTGTTTTACCTTGCAGACCATAACAGCATAGTCCCAGGCAGTAGGAGTGTGATGTACTCTGACTGAATGGACTTCCACAGAGGGCAGCAGGACACCGGTGGGGCTGCGCTCAGCAAGCAGCGTCACACTGGTGAACAAGTTCGGTGCGGGGCTGTACAAGGTGAATTGAACCTTCAGGGCCACCGTCCGTCCGTCCAACCAGCCAGCTGAACGCAGAAGTTTCAGTTTTGATGCAGAATCAGACCTGCAGGAGAGGAGGAGAACTGATCATTATTTGGAAGCAAAAAAAAGGTGAGTTAATCAACAGTTTCCATCGTGGATCTCTCTCACTTTGTGTGCCCTAAGCCAACTGTAGCGCTTGGTCCTGAGTAACAACTAAGGCGACCGCATAGCGTTGTTGAAGTCATAACAGGTACCTGGAAATTGTGAGGCAAGAAACACAACTAAAGTACAGAGACAGAATCTAGAAATCCAGATTTTACAGTGCCATTACAAGTTTAACAAATGTACAGTACAGCATTTTTCTTAACTAATTGTGAGTACTTATAAGTGCAGGAAGTCACGCATTCCTTAATGTAAGAAAATATGAATCTATCCTTCTATCAGTTCATCTTTGGTCACAAACCTCAGTTGGAGAGGTGTCAGATATTTCAATCTTCTGCAGGATTGGCTCTCCAATCACAATATGTGGCTGCTGAATGACATCAGAATGTCACGATGTGGTGCTTTGGTTTGACTTTATGACTAATCTTAATTTTGAAGGATCAAAGAGAGATGAACACGTAGTCAGAGTTTTCTTCACCAACCTGGAGTTTTAAGTCCCTTTGGAGCTTAAAGTCATAGCTTACCTCTGTTTGGGCTGATGTGTGCTCGTACAGTGACTCTATCAGACCTGTCTGTGACCAGTTCCACCACTCCGTATGCTTTTGTATCAACATAAATGAATGATCACGGTTCCTAATAAAAGATAACATCTGATTTTTCTCTGCTTTAGAAGTAAGTGTGAATGTCAGTGAGATATACAGCAAGAGTGTTCGGGTGCTACCTCACAAAGTGTCTTCTGACAGCTCTGTTGAGCTGGTAATGTTCCCTGAATGAGCTGTCATAGGTTATACACATCATCAGGGAAAGCATGGCGACACTGAGAGACAAATCCCTGCATGAGAAGGAAAAGCACTTAAAAGTCTTACATCAAATATAGAGGGGTGCGCATGCATTCGCAAAAGCACACCTCAGGGTTTTATGAATAACAGCCTCTCTTCTTTTCCTCCTATGAGTTTTCCTCAGCTCTGCCAGAGTCGGTGGCCGTACAAGACCCAGGTACCGAGCTCGCCGTCGAGCTCGGAGCAGCTGTAAACGATAAATAACCGAGTTCACATTGCAGAAGGAAAAAACCAGAACAACATTAAACTCTACGAGCGTCTGATTATTACCTTTTTAAGGTGTGAGCGTCGTCTGTAGGGAAAAGCAGACTCAGTAAGCTGCTCTTCAGCTCCATTAATGCCTCTATGGCTCCAAAGTTTCATAGCCTCAATATTGAATTCCCTCAATCTGAAAAAAGTATGAAAGTCTGATGTTTTTCTGTGCCAACAGGAAACAGCCAAGGCCACTGCAAGTATCTGTAAAAGAAAAACATCAAGATGATATTTTTATTTAAGGTTTGTGCCATTATTTAGCTGTGTAGCTGATTATAAAAAGCACATATTATGTTACCAAAGCTGGCTGAATGATGAAGATGCAAGACATCAGGGAGATGAAAAGAGAATGGACCCAAAGCAGAACCTTGCCACTGTTAAACCTAACACATCAAAACGCACAGAGAGGCTTCAAAAGCGTGACACTGACACCCGTGATACAATATTATAACAGATAAAACAGCAGACATCACAATGAACATTACTTTCACTACCTCATTCCCAGCACTGCAGAGAGCACCAGGCAGGAGAGGGACAACAGCAGACACAGAGTCCAGGCCAAACAGACACGCCGCTGACATGTTGGTCTTTCTCTCAGTTTGTCGGTGGCATCATAATAGCTTCCTCTCTCAGAGGAAGAGTCTGGTGAACATCGTCCTTGGAGACCTTTCTCTTTTTGACCTTCATCTTTTGCCCTGGACAAACAAGCTCTTTGGGTTTCATGAAACCTGCTGCTGCCAGGAAGGAATTCAGACTTGTTTTTGTGGGGTGCTTCATCCACATTACTGTATGAAACCGACAGGTCTGCATCCTACAGCAGAAAAAGAAAGGTCAGGCAGTGATGTTAGAAGCTGTGAGAATGACAATGAGGAGAAATGGAAAGGAAGGGAATACAGAAACTATTCTGAGGTGTAACCTGGTATTTCTGCATCCAGGATTCATCCCACTGCTGGAGGCTGCTCCAGGAGAGACGGCGGTCAAACGTGCTGTCGCTTAGTGAGAGGGGGTCTGTGAGGAGATAATAAAATAAAAGGATAATGAACAATTCAAGAAAAGACACAACAAAATTCAAAAAGAGGTCCACAGAAAACCAATTTACCTTCAGAATATTCCTTTTCAGTCTTTCTGCATTTTACACGATGGACTCGTGACCCCGTCGGCTGTACCGCACGCAGTCGAAACAGGAAAGACACCGCTGTTGCTACGGGCAGCACAGCTACCACGCTTACAAGCCCATTTGTTACAGCACCAGCGGACACATCGACAAATCCCAACGCAAACAGCGGCTGCAAATACAGAATAAGTAGATGCATCATTGAGCTGTAGGTAAGGCATTTCAGAGCTCTTGCTCACCAAATCTTCAACTTTGAGGGCCTACCTGATCATCCGTTTGTGCAACGATTACTGCACCAACACATGCGTACCCCAACAGCAGCAGCAGACACACACTTAGTCTTTGAGTATGTGTGAAGGAGCTGGGAGAGGGGCAGCTGTACACGGATACCCACGTATGGAAATCAGCCAAGTAGTCATTAAGCTTGAGACGCAGCATCTGCAATTACACAGAGGGAGACCTGGGGTGACACAGCAGCAAATATTACATTAAGTTTTATGTCTAGTGTAGATTAACTCACTGTGACGATGCCGAAAATAGTTTTTATGTGAACATGAGTGTTGTACCTGAGCAAAGTTTATCCCCTGAGTGCAAACACGCAGCATCCTCTCCACTCGGCCATCGCCTTTGTTCGCAGCCAGCCAGCACTGGGCAGCAAACAGCCAAGAGCATCCCACCACATGCCCTCTGAGCACCTGAATAACAAGTCAAACCACCTTAAAAGTCCACTCATCAATGAAAAGGTGTGTTCACAAACAGTTTTTGTTATAGGATTTTTTTATTACCTCAGATACCTCCACCTGTGTAAGGTACCAATCAGGGGAAGGTCCAGAGTTGTCATGCCAGATGTGAACCCCCCACACTGGGCCCAGGCTTTCTGCTGCACTGTGGGGGAGCAAAGACACAGAGATTATAGCACGTGGTAATGAGATAATGAAAAATTACACTGATTTATCTCCCTTTTTCTTACATATTGAACACAAACACAAAGAAAAAAAACTTGTTTCTAAATCACTGAGGATTTTACCTAAGTATGAAGATGTCTTTAGAGTTCCTCCTGAACAGAGTGCATCCTGGGACATGTAGTTCTTTTGTCTGTGAGAACCCATCTTCACCATACAGTGATATGTACACCTGGTCAATATATAAAGATTAAAAAAAACATTAGTCTGGGAAGAAAAACTTTTAAAAACTTTTTTATGTGATTAATTCTCTTACACTAATCTATAACATGTTCTGAATTAGTGTACGAAAAATATTCAGATAATTTAATAAAGCATGTCAAACGGCATCAGGTGCTACAGAATGAGGAGTGTTACAGTTTATCTGCTTTACCTGCTCTGTATGCAGGGAATAGTATGTGGAAAACAATGGGAAAATGGGAAGAAAGACAACAAAAAATGAAATACACAAATACAGTGGCCATAAGGATCCAGGAGGAGCATATTTTGAGAACAGCTAAATACCAAAGGAGCTGATAAGTTTGAAAGAAACCAAAAACAGCCCTGCCTTTGCACTCATACGGGCTGCAGAGCTGAGACCCGTGTGGGTTGTAACTGCGTAGAGATACGGATCAGATGCAGAGTTGTCAGACAGGTAGTGAACCCTTTGACTTTGCGTTGCAACAACATCAGCTCTTTTACACGCCGCCAACCCCGCGACGTACAGGCACACGAACAGCAACAGCATGCCCAGCACTGTCAGATCAGTGGATGCGCTGAGGTTTCAGAGAAGCAAAGAAAAGGAGAGAGATGCCTTAGAGGATGCGTTAAATATCAACACTAATGTTATATTTCTATTTTTCATCTACGGTACATTTTGTTTGCAAAAGAAACTTACCGGTAGCTTCAACAGGTCAAGAGGTTGATATATTTCAAAATACAAATAAAAGAAAAAAAATCTAGCAATCCGGTTTCATTTTATTACGTTTCAAACCTGATGAGCAAAAAAATCCTACTGTTTCTTTCTTTCCCCCCCCCCTCCCCCCCTTTTTTTTGGTAAAATGCATGTAAAAATATTTGTGCAGATCAGTGTTTTTTGTTATTTTCCAGGTCTCGGTTGGTCACCTTAGGAACGGGTTCACATCTGCTGTGCTGTGGATGCTCTGGATCTGCTGCTGCTTCACGGTCAGCGGTCTCAAACGGTGGCAGCTAGGATTCAGCAAATATAAAGAAGCATGTTAATCACCTCTGCATCCAGATTTGTCCTCTAGTGTTTGTTTGTTTTCTTATATTCTCACACACAGACACACTCACATGCTTTACCTGCAGCTGACAGCTGAATCTGTGTCTGCTAGCTGTGTTCTGCAGCCCTGATGTGTCCAAGCCCCCTGCTGGCCGTCCCAGGACAAACACAGACTGCTGTCCACTGTCAGACTGTAGCTTATCTCTTCAGTCAGGTGATTGGCTCTGGGTGCTTTACCAAAATCAGCATTAAGCAGTGCCAAGTGACCAACACCTGCAGCTGGAAGTTTTGGGAATTTGTTACAATATTTCCCAGCGAACTTACTCAAAGCATGTACATGTTAGAAAGATGACTTGACTGACTCATACTACTCAGCTAAAACATACATGGATCAATTGATTTCTATTAAGTTTAACTGAGATTCTGGGTAGATTTTTCACTCCACAAATAGATGATCAGTCTTAAAAATACTTTGTAAAAGGACAGAGAATTTAACAGAAGGAAAGACCAGGAGGGCAGAAGAGTCAGAAACAGAAAATGGTCTTACCGCTGAGGTAGGATGAGGGCAGAGTGATGCGTGAGGTGTTGCTCTCCCACCTGTAAATCTTGCGCAGATGGTGCATTCTAGGAGTCGGCTTTTCAAACATCCTGATACAGCGGACACTCACGGTTAGATATGTGCCATAGTCTCACCTTTCAGTCAAAACTCATTCAAATTATTCTGTTATTATCTGAGTATGAGTATAACACGGTGCTGTAATAATACCTGAAGAGCACCATGAGGGGAAACGCCTTTTTGGTCGTGGGTCTGAAGAGTAGAGTGAACTGGATGGACTGCAGCAAGTGTTCCTGGGTAATGTTGAAGCTGTGGTAGTTGACCCGGCTGCGCAGGAGGGCGAACTCCCACGAGGAGCTTTTCTGCAGCAGAAATTTAGTCTCGTGTTGTTGGAGTAAAGATACAACACTGCACGTTTTAAGAATTTCTTTTCACAAAATCTTATTATGAAGAACCTCTCATTTTCCACAAACAAAAGAAAAGGACAATCAGCAGCTCACGTTTCTTTGTGTGTGACGAAGCTCGGTGTTGAATGGTTGAATGAGGGAGGAAACGTGGATCCTTCTCCTCGTGTTGCACTTGTAAAGACTTAGGTCAACCACTGGTCCACTCACCTGGAAATCCAAAGAATAAGTAAGAGAGATGTCTCACCTTTAACCCTGTTAAGCTGAACCATGAAATAACTGGTAGAAAATGCATCATTCACAGTTTATGTTAAACAAACAAAACCGATAAAGGGGTTAGAGTTAAAAGTCTCACTGATGGTATAGATGTTAAATCACTGTATGTGCAACTACTGAGCAGGTCTCACCTGTGTAGGATTGGCCCAGGTGTAAGGACTGTGAGCAAGCTCGGTGAGCACAGTGAGGACACACGGTCCATGCTGGAGAAACAGAATCTGGATGAAAGAAGCAGGCATGTAGACCCTGACTGAGCCACTGTTTATGACTGTGGAGGTGTTGTTTTGGGATGCAGCATACAAATTAATGAGGCTGCTGCTAACTCTGTGCTCCTTGGTCTCATGAAACAAAATGTACTTCTGGAAAACAAGAAAAGGAGGATGAATTTCATTAAAAAACTAAAACTGTGGAGAAATAGTTTTAAATGTGTTTTGTCTCACCAGCATGAGCTCTGATGCAGCCTGCAGAATATCAGCTACGAGCATCACCGCTTGCTTTGCTGGAGGTGAACGTCCTTGTTTGATGTGGCCACTGGTGGATGAGTTCACTGCAGTGCTGTTTGGAGTGTTTTCATCATTTCTTAGGTTTCCATCAGCAGTTGAGTCTTCTTGTGTAATGTCAGGTGTGAAGGTGCAAGTAGTCACCACCTGAAGGCTGTGTGAAAGCAGGGTGAGCGCTGTATTGAGCACCTTCTGGTTTATAATGTAGTGGCGATAAGCACTAGATGCAGAAAACTGCTCGGACATCATCTGAATGTGAGCTGTTACTCGTTTGGCACTTGCTAGTGTCACCTAAAAGGAATAAAGGAAGTATTAGAAACAATCTAGCATCTACAACCCTGCTCCCAGTTTGGTTTTGTGAGTCCATCCACTCACCTGACTTGTAACTCGTAGCAGGTCGTTCAGAATGCAAATATTGTCTGTCATTGACTCCTAGAATGGAAACATAACTGAATGATTAACAGTAAATGGACTGGTTCTTATACAGCACTTTTCTACTTCCACTCCAAGCACTTTATACAACAGGCCTCATTCATAAAAACACTTTCCTTTTTGATAAAGCTTATAGTTAGGACTGGATCAGGTGACCCTGAACCCTCTCTTAGTTATGCTGCAGTACACTAGGACTGCTGGGGGCATCCCATTATGCACTGGGTGTGTCTTCTTCATTCACCTCCACCTGTTTATACACCAGTATTGCATTCAGAGGCTTAAACGAGCATTGATTAGTTGTCTTTTGCTCTCTTCTCTTTCCTTCTCTTTCCCCTCAGAGCCACGTGAGATGCTTGATTTTTCTTTTCTTTGATCAAAACTCGATTTTAATGCTACCGCTCTTCCTCCCAGAGAGCCGGGGCTGTAGAACAGAAAAAGAACATTGTTGTGTTTTATCACTTGTGATGTCAGTGTGTTTACCTGATCGCTGCTCTCAAGCTCACACAAGGTGCGAATGAGCACAGTGCGCATGTGCCTCTGTGCATGTGTGTTGGCCTCTGTTTCCAGGCTGAGTCTGTTCAGGATGCTGGTGAGGAGGCTGATGTAGTTACGAATCTCCATACTGTTCCCAAGCTGCACCAAAGCCGACAGGTTCCTCAGACCGGACTCCGACCTGGAGATGGTGAAAGTAAGGATTTGCATGTTCTATAGAATCTATATTATTGTTGACTTGCTCAGATTGATGCTTTGTAGTTTAACACACAAAGTCGTTCTTAACAGCAGCTTTTTGGCTGACAGCATAAAATCCCTGAGCGTGCTCAAGCTCAGTGCTATTTAAATCACCAGCAGGCCCTCTTAAGTAGACAGCACGAGACATCTGCATATCATATCATCATAATATGATCACATGGGGGTTCTTACAGCTCAAGATCAGGATCATGATGGGAAGAGGAAGATGAGGTGTCTCTGAGGAAGCTTGGTTGGACTTGTACTGTCACAGGACAGGGTTTGGTGGCTGACCCATATGTGCTGCTTCTTATTTCTGTGTAAATAGTTACTGCGGTGACAACAGTAATAAGAGCAATAAAAAAATAAGAAAATATTAGAAAAATAATAATTCTGTTAATGCTCCTTAAGCAACAGTGTGTCTTTGTGTGTTTACCTTTATAGTCATCCCTGGGGTCACCTGAAGGAAGGCTGAAGTAGTATTGGAAGTCTCTCCCCTGGTACAGTGTCCTGGGGAGTCGGTCTCCTACACTGAAGCTGTACTCATACACTAAGTCCTTTGGCACACACACACACACACACACACACACACACACACACACACACACACACACACACACACACACACACACACATTTCTGTGAAGACTGGCATGCCAGGACCAAGGTCAAAAAATTTGGGGTGATCAATTAGTAAAATTATGGGGTCAAGGAGAGCCCTGAAGAGGTTTACTTCAATCATCGGCAGACAGCTCCGAACTTCAAGCACTGAGTGGCAATGTCTTGTAATAAAAATGCACTTTGAAAATCTTTAATCAAAGCAGGAAGAGTGTTAAAAGCATGCGACAGAAAATACCTCCTTCCCTGAGGTGCAGAAGATGCTGAAGTGTGTGTGTAACTCGAGTCCTCTGACAGGCTGCACCTGGCACGCCAAGCCCTCTGGAACAGGATTGGTCTGTAAGAACAGCTGAGTCCGGCCCAGACGCCTGCTCTGAGATTCTCAATTCATCAGACAACAATCGAGAGGATCATTAACAGACGGAGACTGACTTTAAAGGCAATGTGGGCATTTTAATGTTCAAGTTAAAGTACTGCAGTAAATGTAAAAAATAATATATGTCTGTGATTTTGTCCTTTTGTCCCATTATCCTGTTTTATAAATCTCTAATAACTCTCGCCTGGGCTGGTCTATATGTAGCCATCCCAAACTTACTGGCAGTGACCTCCAACATGTATCTGCTCCTGGGCCTCAGACTGAAGGGCTTGATCTTGAGAAAAGAACAGGAGATTCCTGTAGAGATTTTTAAAAGGGAAAAAAAGATGGCTAAATGCTGACACAGTGGCACAGAAGCAGGAATTTTTCTGCATAATGTACCTGTGTAAGTAAAGGACTCAAAGAGGCCTCTGTTCAGAGGATTTCGAGGTAAGTCGAGCAAAGTCGGTGCCTGAATTGCCACAAAAGGCTTAGAATCCACTAGATTACTCCCTTCATCTTTGTGTAATCCCATATCAAACATCGAGACGTCTCCTGCACTGAAGCGCTCACCATCTTCACCTGGGAACGATCGTGAGTGAGTACCAGTAAAAACCATCTCAGATAAGAAATAAACAGTGATTGTAGATATGAACTGTACCTCTGGGTCTCCCTGCTGACATCCCTGGGTCGCCTTCCTCTGCGTTTGGAAAGGGAGCACCATAATCTGGATCTGTAACAGAACCAGCTTTAGTGCAATAATAATAACAGTCAAGCAACATAATATTGCCCCATATAACTGAAAAATATTCTTTATATTTGGAAAAAGTTATTTATTTATGATGGGAACTTTCTTCATGTTGGTTCCAGGTTGGTAAAACTCTTTCACAAACTGTATTTTTATTGTAATTTAATCCGTTTAAATTGTGCTAACAGCATCAAATTATATATAACTTAAATAGACTGAGCTTATATGGCGATTTTAGATTTTCTCACCTAGTCGACCACCCGCATTGCTACTCTCCAGAACACGAAAAGAAAAGTCCCAGTCGGCAGAGGAGTCAGACTCCACTGAAGTTTCACTGCTAATGTCCCCTTGGATCAAGTAGTCGGAATATAGGACACCATCATTGTTGAGAACACGTGGACTAGACTCTGGCAAAGCTGCGGGGTGAGGAAAGAAGTCACATTTAGTGACAGAGTGGTACGCTCCAAGTCATGTATACATATTTGTTTATACAGCTAATAACACACCAGCTTTGTCTGATGTGTCTCCACTCCTGGTTGTTGATGCCCCACTATCAGCCAGGTCCACATCACCGTTTCTGGTTTCAAAGGTAGCCACGGTAACGGCTGAAGAAGATGAATAAGGGGTCGTCTGGGTGTTCTGTGACACATTTGTAACAGGAGGGTGTAGAGTAGAGGTGGCAGGACTTTCCATGATGGCAGACATGGTGCTGAGATCTACTGTGTGGCAAAACGGGACTAGAATAGAACACAAGATTTTACTTTTTTAATTTAATTTCCATTTTTAGGGGAATTTTTGGGGGAATTTTCTTGCACAGTGGCACTGAATTTACCTTCTGTGAAAGGCTTGGATGAAGCATTGACCAGGTACAGACTCCAGGTGTACTGGATGTGCCGTGCAGGAATGTGGCAGGCTTCACACACGGTGCCGACAGAGAACGACTGATCCCAGTTCACACGGTCTCCCCGACACTCAGGGCAGTAAATGGACAGCTTCCTGGATCGGATGCATTTAGGCGCATGTTAAACGTCACTTAAGAATTAAAGTGCTGCTTTTAATCAAACACTTCTATTTGATTCTGTTCGGTTATGTGATTCAATTGAGACTTTATGAAGAGGTCACACCCGATGAGGTTTGATGTTACAGTGAGGAAGGTCTCTGATGAAGCTGAACGCTCTCCGCTTTGGACAGTGAGCGTGAACTGGAACTGGTCAAAGTTGGTTTTTAAGAAGCTGGCGGGAAATTTGAGCACCAGCGACGAAGTGGGAATGTGCTGGTTGAAGCAGGAGCTGGTGATGGTGCTCACTGGTTTACATGCCCAACTGTAGCTATACAGAGAAAATCAGAAATTCTGTTAACTTCCAAACACACATTAAATTTCTCAAGGTGAAACAAATACAACTAAAAATGACTAAGATGTAGGAAAATCCACCAAAATATAATATTTACATATTTATTGGCATTTTTTGCCATTTATTTAGTTATAGCTGAGCCCAATGTTGGCGACTTTTGGCAATTACAGCTCAGAAATGCTACTGGCAAATGTTATGTGGGCCAGACGTGCAGCCGAAAAACAAATGAGACTCTAGGCACCCAAACTGCAACACAGAGACGAGAGAGAATAGCTTTCTGTGGACACAGCTCACTAACCAGCTTCAGAAGGAGCGGATCTGGAGAGCGCAGCTAAGCGAGCAGCTGCAGCAACAGGAACACACCCATCATGAACTGCTCAAGGCAGAGGAAAAGCCTCACGCTATAGGACAAACTGAATTTTGATCCAGGAGTTAAATAGTGAGTAAGATACCCTCAGTCAGGAGGAGGACCTAAAAAGCAAAATCTCAGCAAACCTTGAGCTGAACACTAAACTTACAGCAGAGGTAGCGGTGAGAATGGGAACGTGACCACTTCCATAAACATTTAAAACCAGAGGAAAGTGAACATTCTTATCCGTTTTTCCTCATTGAGGCGACAGCTTCTGGCTTGTTGCCTATTAAAGGTGTCAGGGCTCAATTTCTACCTGAGTGGATTCGTGGGGAAGTCAGGGTCGTAAGATGCCTGCCCATCCAGGGTTACTATGGTGTTCCTGTTGTTAAGGAAGATGTTGGTGCCACCCTGGATGAAAGCCACAGGAGGGCTCGGCATCACCTGAACCTTTACGCTGTAGTTACTGTACACCACACTGCCGACGACCTGAACCTGCAGGAGAAACACAAGCCTCGATCATTCGGAATAATCGTATAGCAACAGAAATAACGACTTGAAATGGAGAGACCGGCCGTTAAATAGTTCTTCTGTATTATTGTATTATTATTACACACCCTGGCTGTAGCCGTATAAGTGTCATACTCCAGGAGATGGCTTTGCACTATGAGGATCTGCCTGTGTGTGTCTGTGAGAGGCAGCGGCACTGCCTGGCCTGCAGAGTCGAATAAAGTCCAGGAGTAGCGCAGGCCTCTTGATACATCACAATCCACTTCCGTTTCGTACGTCACACCCAGATGGACAACCTCATATCTTCGTACCTAGGTGCAAAGAGAAGGTTGTATTGTCTTTTATTAACTATGCTCCGCCATACGTACTTGTGAGGTCTGGACAAAGAGCTACCTGTAGTTTAAGAGGCCCCATGTTTTTGACAGGTGGAGGCTGACAAGGCTGGTCCACAACAAAGATGTGGCTGCTCAGGGAAGCAGAGCTGACCAGGTTAGACGCCGTCACTTCCACTCTGAACTCTCCCGTTCTGAGGAGGAAAAACATGTTGATTAAGCACACTTGTGTTAGGCTACATGTGATTTTCATATTTATCTGAAAGACAGATAGTGAAACATACTAACAAGTTTGTAAAAGGTAAATACAAAATTAGAGAATCTTAATCCTAACTTAATCTAAACTTAAAGTCCGATTTGAGTTTACAAGGAGAATGAAAGCCCAAAGTCTTGTTAAACTCTCTGACTCACCTGTGGAAGATGTGCCGTTCTGTGCTCTGTCCAGACCGGCTTGTTCCATCCCCAAAGCTCCACAGGAAGTTGATGTCGGTCCCCATATTTACCCGGCAACTGAACACCACTGTATGATTCTGCAAAACCGAGGCCCGGTGGACCAGCCTGTTGAGCTTCACTGTTCTCTGGATTACCACCGGGAACATGTCAGAGGTAACGGCCATCTTACCATGTGACATGATTACAGACACATTATACCTATGGTGAGGAAAGTTGGGATTTAAGAGGGGTTAGTTTGATTCACATGGTGTTTGATTTATTTAATCATATTTTATTTAGAAGCTGTTGAGCTATTGTGTTTAAAGACATAATGACACACAAATGCTACCAAAAACATAACCTCCTTGGTGCACGTAATAATGTGGGGATGAAGAATGTTTTTTTAGCGTTAGAAGACTTGAGAAGGACCAACCAACAGAGGCTGGGTGATTCTAGTTGTTTGCCAGTTTCTGTTATGACTGTTAGATTACAAGTTAAAATTTATGCATGTAAACCAACTTCACATGTTTTACCCTTGTGACAGTTTTGTTGACTTTTTTTTTAACTGTCAGGATTTGAAAAACAAAACGTATGTAACCTTGTCCGTGGATGAACACTTTTAAGGCTCTGGCTTATTTAAAAAATCTCCAATTATTTTATTTTAAAAATGTTGCACATGCCTCGCTATTACCTGCCAGGCTTTAGGTATTTTCTAGTGATGATCCTAGAGGTAGTTGTGGCTGATGTGTAGTCTCCAAAGTGCCAGACGAACACTGGATCTGGTACGTCAGTCACAGCTTGGAAGATTATATCTGTATTTGTTGGATATGCTTGCCTTGCTGCAAAAATCCTCACAGCTAAGGATAAGAGACACACATGGTCATTACAGATAAATCACACCAAAGATAATGACACTAATTAAAGATAACAACAACAACAAAAAAAGACAGAAACATTTGGCATCAATGCTGTGACTCCTCGGTGGTTACCGTTTTAGATTTAGTCTCACTTGTGGTGACAGCTTCCTGTTCTTTGTACACGCTCTCACACCTCAAGTAAAACACTTGATTCTCAGCCTGACGCTCAAATGCAACCGTCCTAGTGTGGTTGAAAAGCTAAACCGTGACCACTTCCTGTGCTCCTGTCATGTAGCTGCATTTCCTGTACAGCGGTGATGAGCTCACCAGCAGCGAAGCAGCCACGTTTGACCCCGGTGCACCTCTAAAATAAAACCTAATGCTTTTCTAAACCTAATCCTGGCCTGGCATGACCTCCCATGGATGACTTCTGAATGTACGGATGCATGAACTCCTAGTAGGCCTCGAGACACCACTGATGAATGATGGCAGTGGAGAGGATCGATGCTGTGAGGTGATGCTGTCCTACAGCAGTGGCGATTGAGTGCAAATTGCAGCTGGAGTGGGCGGAGGTGTGAAGGTTATCAAGGTTTGACGTGTGAGGGTACCGCCGTGTCAACAAACAAGATTGTAAGCATATGTGATGTTGCCATGGTCGCTCTCATAGGTGGGGGCTACATTTAGTGTGAGGCTGAGGACAAGCAGGTGTTTCATGGTGGTGAGCAGCTCTCACAGAAACAATCTCACCTGAAGTTAAATGATTCCCACACAAGATCCCTTTAAGGTGAGAGCAGCCGGGAGATAAGACCACCTGCAAGACCACACGACCACATGCAGAAAGCACACACACAAAGACACACACCAATGTGAGATTAAAGGATATCTCCATTCATATTTGATTTTTCTTCTCATCGAAGAAAGAACACAATGAGCATAAATGCTTTTAAAATCTTGTATCTCTTATTTCCCGCGGTTATATAATATCCCAGCTATTGTTTTAAACATACTGAGCCTTTCTAAAAAAAAAAGAGGACTATAAAATGTTTTAGTTGTTTGCACCTTTAATGTATTAATACTAGCATAATTCATACAAAACCGTTGCATTTTTTAATGACTGAAAGCTGAGAACTCACAACATGTATTGTCTTCTGCTTCCACCCATAGAGGCATGATGCATTCACTGACACTGCGTGAACTCCCTCTGATTCGAAGGTCCACTTCTGAAAATGATGAGAAGCGTTAAGTTTTCAGATTAAAAAACATGACAGTACATTGAAGGATGAGGGATATTTCAGATGATGGAGATTAAAAAATCAGGTCACCTACAGAAAACTGCGTTCCTTCAACAAGAAGAGGAATTCCATGAATTCTTATTTGCAAAGCTGACAGTCCGGCATCAGAAGTATGTATGCCATTCTGGCTCACTAGCGTTACAGCATTTTTTTCAGTCCTTCTGCAGACCCAGCAGATTTATGGTGTTGGCTACTGCTTAAATAATGTTTGAACACTTAACCTTCTACTTTATCTCAGTTTGAACACACCAGTGGCTCTGAATGAACAAACTAAGCTCTGAGGAGCTTTGATGAGCTTTAATGAGCACATCAAGGTTTGCTTATGCTCTTTTCCCTGTCACCGTAGAAGAGTTGTGTAATGACTCACAAATACGTAGTTATGCTAATCAGTAATTTTGAGGATTATGCACATTTTGCACATTCAACCTGAATAAAACTCCCTCAAGAGCTTTTCTCTTTGTTGCAATTTTTCCAAGATTTTTAGTTTATTATTTATACGTTATGATTCTTTTGGAAAAACTCTAGATGCAATTGGTTTTAAAAAAAAGAGTTACTGGATTTACCAGATGAGTATTAATCTAAAGAAAAGGTTTTTTAAAAATACATTAAAAAAATACATAAAATACATGAAAAACAGGGCAAAAACATCAAAAATTATTTATCATATATGTTGAATGTTCAGTTATTTTATATTTTTTGGTTGTTTCGTTTTTCTTTTTTTTTTAAAGCTAACATTCACAGCTGATAAAATTCTTTGAAAAGCTGACAATTCAAGTGAGCAAAACATCTTTCTTATATATATTTTAGATATATAATATTTTTATATTAATATTTTCCTGCTGGAAAATCACAAACAGGCCAAACTGCATATATGAGCTTAACATAATAAACACATAAATCAATTTCCCATTATAAATCCCCAAATAGCTATTTCCTTTTAAAGCCAAACCTGACAAGTTAATTAATTTAGACTCATTTATAAGTTATTGTTGTGTGATTTACCACTGTGCTGTTCAGACAGTGTGGCTGTGAAAGGGAAGCTGTTTCTTCTTCCCTGTGAGTAAAGCACCAGCAGAACTCAGCTGCTAATCTGTCACTTACAAACTCCTGCAGAGTGACGGGATCGGCCCAATATGCAGCCACACCCTCAGTCACACCGTCAGAGTCCAAGTGAACCGTGGGGATGCAGGAGGGAACATTCAGGGGGCCGTGGAGCAAAGACACCGTTAGGTTCCCTGGAAAGGGTGGCAAAATGTACAAGTGGAGGGTGGAGGAGAGTGTGGAGAGAGGGTTGGAAACGGTGATGTCTAAAAAGAAAACAGAAGACAAAAAATACACACAGAGCAGACAGGATTACTCATACGTGATCCCTTTCTTGATTAATTAACTGATGAAAAAATCACCAGCAAACACATTAAATTTTCTCTGGTGAACTTACTTATTTCGTATTTGCCTGCAACATTCAAAATCCAATCGGATGACACAGTAAAGGAGCCATCATCCATCACGTTGACCTTTAGGGTCATCCCCAGAGACTCCACAGTGACATAGGTCAGGGCCTGGCTGCTAAGACCCAGGATGCCTGGAAATCACACAAATAATCATGTAAAGGATAAAAAAAAGAGCTTTGATATAAAGTGCTTAAAATTCTACAAATCGTGGAAATAATACACAAATATTCAGAGGTTATTAGCATATATTCCAACATACTTAAACTCATTAACAAGCATCAGTGCAGTCCATTAACTTTCTGAATAAAGCATTGTCTAGCAACTATATAGAAAATTTCGGTTTCTCAACAAAAGAAAAACAATCAAAATAATTTAAAAACCTATTTATTTGCAATACATTGTAAGTAATTTTCATTAAAATTCTTCAAATTATATTAAGTTTAAATGTACAATATATATCAAAAATTTAACACATACTAGATACTTGTAATGACTTCACACAATACAACTGTAACAGCAAAAATGTGCCTTATGTTTGATACTGCTTGTTCAGTTTCTGTTGAAATACATTTTGATAAGTATAATTATTTTTAAGGAAACATTTAAATCTAAATTAAAAAATAAAGAATGGAAAAAAGACTGAAAACAACATTTTAAATACTCAGTTTACAGATCCCGTCTGCCTGTGTGAAAACATGAATAATATTACTTGCAATAATTTATATCAAGAAATAATATGATATAATAATAAAAGTCCAATTTATAGAAGCCAAAACTACAGGTTCTACATTATGTGAGACCACAGAAAATACACAGTAGGATAAAAGTAAATTAAATTAAAACAATTTCAGATACAGATACGCAAATAATACCTGACAGTGTAAACTAATAATTAATGCGTTCATTGAAGCAAACCTTTTCAAATCAGGGAATAACTTAATTAAAGCACGGGGGTGAAGAGTTGCATTTCAAAGAACCTCATTGTTATAAAACACTGCAGCAGCTGACCTGGTGGCTGATTGGAACGTCCAGCGAGGTTTCCTTTCACTTCAATGACAAAAGTCTTCCCAGCCTCCAGTCTTGCTGGAGAAGTAAATACACTAATGTTGTGCAAAAATGGCCCTTCAGTTCTGTAGAGCGCCATGCTTCCATCTTGTGCTTTTCCAAGAAGTAAGTTCAAGGTACTGGAAGAGAAAAGAAGTTATCCAGGACAAAAAGCTTCTTGCTTTAAGCTTTTAAAATGTACTTTAGTGATGACACGACAACACAAGTTTAAATGAGAAGAGAAGCGGCAGCTATAGTTAGACATCAAAAGCAAAAGAAAGCAATCTGCTACCTCACCTTTGTCTTTCACTTCCTCCTTTCACGTCCTTTGTTCCTTCACTGGGAGATGTCTTGAAACACTCTCTAAACACCAAACCACTGAGCTGGTTCCCACAGTAACAGGTCTGTGAAGACAATGCAGCCACTCCATACCTTCCACAATAAACACAGTGAAGGTTAGTGTTTTACATACTGAGAGCACATGTCACATGTCAAATAAGCCTTTGTTGGTATTCTAATATATGATGCTTTAAATTTCTGTTACATCTTCTTGAAAACAGCACTTTTGATATATATACATATATATTCTTTGTTTGTTTGTTTTTTGTATTAGAGATTTGCTATTGGGATTTTTTTTATTCACAAATTTTATTCATAAATTTAAAAATATTTTTGTAATTTCTTAAATTATTTCAGGATGAGAATATATTAAGATTTCTGAGAGTTTGTTTTTAAGTGCTTTTACACACAACAGATGATGCCTCAAATATGCAATAATAAAAGGCTGCTATAAAAATTTGAATATTTCTTTAACCTGTTACTGTCATCACTGTCAAACAATTTCAGACAAGCATCCACATTTCATCTTCATCTGTAATGCCCCCTGACCCGGAAAGCTCTTTTAGCATTTCTCCACCAGCTCACCCCTCATCCAAGCAGTGTGCAGAGCAGGCTACCGGGTCAAGGTCACGGGCACCGACACCCGTGGGTCCGTGAAATCCGAGGGAAGAGCTCGCGCTGACGCATCCGATGAACCAGGGTGAACTCTGCTGACCTGATGAGGAGGCCAACGCGGACAAGGAGTGCAGTGCAAAGAAGACAAAAGCGCGGAGCATGACTGCTCGGACACGGGCCTCGACTATAGAGCGAAACTCGGGATGAACTGCGATTGAGGAGGACGCTTCAAGTGGGAGAGAACGAGAGAACAGGAGAGAGGAGCAGGTGCACCGAGACCTGCAACTGTGCATACAAGGTGTGTGGGAGGCGTGAACAGAGAGGGTAACTGTATGCAAATAATGGGTCAAAGACCACGTGAGGGAGGAGGGAGATCGCGTTAATGATCGGGAATCTAACAGAAAAAAAAATCACGGCCTTTTGTTGCTGTGCAGGAAACGCTATTGTTGTTATTACTAAGTTTAAGGCGCGTGTTACCATTGTAGTTATTTAAAGGTGAAGGCTCAGGTGCCCTGCACCTGCGTGTGTGAAGATGGAGTGATCCCCCACTTGCCTTTGCTAATAATTTGTGCAAAGCTTAAGGACGTTTTTGAATTTAAATACGAGAGCAGCTGCTTCGGAAGCATCAAAATGCCCGTTGCAAAAATAATAATAATAACACTGTTAGATTTTAATGCAGCAACGCATGTCTGCTGCGCTGTAAGGTCACATGTCAGTGACACCCAATGGCTGGGTGTTTTACTGGACTATGAGACTTGCATCAAATAAAGCCTCTGCAGCGATCTTAACTGCTGCTTCGTTTGTGGCCAACAAAGCAGCATCATGCGGCCTTTAAGGCAGAAAACTGAGATACGTTAAATGGAAAGCCGCAGTGAGAGAGAGGAACGGCAGGTGTTTGCTTTGTTTTACTCCAAGGATCCGGCTCCATGATCATAAGAATTCTGCTTGACACTGAATTAAACTGCACTAAGCTCAGGTGGCCTAAAGCGACCTGGTCACATGCTTCACGTACAGGTTATAACATTTACTGAGCCATTAGACACTCAGTGCCTTTCAGTGATTTGATGCCCAGCAGCCCCTTTTTTTCAAGCGAACTGATCCAGAGGATGTCTCCAGACTCGTTTCTCCTCTGTCACCAGAATTCCAAACAAAGGAAAGAATTCCAAAGTAATCACATGTCATTGTTTTATTGTGAGAATGAGACGCTAGTTTATATTCTGAAGGAGCAGCCCTGAATCACCTGCCAGACGGCTTGAAACTGGTCGTTAGACAGACGACGCTCGACGCCAGATTACATTTAAAAACACAAATATTAACCTTATTAAGCATTAGATTCGAAGTCTAATGTGGGCTACACGTGTAACTTTATTTTAAATTACACAAGTAAAATGGAAACACGGGGACAGGTACTACAGAGAACTGTGTGGTGTCTCAGGCTGTCCCCTCTGCTCAGGTTAGGTTCGCCAATTATTTGGTTAACTGAAATAAATTCCAAATGCTTCGCGTTAAACTGGTAAATTTAAATGAAATCTCACCAGCAGTGATAATTTTGTGCTAAGTTTGAGAAATCCAAGGTTGTCAGCTCGGACACGAGACAAAGCGTCCTCTCAGTGGGTTTATTTTATCTGAGCTGTCACGCCGAAAAGGGCAAAACCGCGACGGAACCGGTGTGACTCTTCGGAGTTCAGCTTTGCCCGTGAGCCCTTTTGCTGGAAACCAAGTCTGCGCCGTGTAGCTAACTCCGCCGGTCCACCTTAAAAAGCTCTTCCGGTTTGCTCGACATCCCCTTTAAGAGAAATTCCCAGAGCTTGAAGTTAGCGGCAGGGGGCACTGTCAGACCGTGCCATCTCTCCATGAGTGGAGGAATCAAACACATTTCTCTCAGAGTATTTTCATACTGAAAACGCGCACTTTGTTCTGCGATTTCGTTTCATCTCGTCACTCAGGGGTCCCCAGAAGTTTTTGCACCGTTAACACATCACGGAGGCATGCACGTGGAACCCTAGAAACCGGAACTAATTTTTGGCTTATCTTATTCCACCCCCCAAAAAACAACAAAACAAAACAAAACCCAACCTGTGGTACTTTATATTAATGAGTGAGTTGTGTGTGATAGTGAAGCAGCTGCGTGGGTGAAGCTTATTTTGGGATCTTCAAATCGAAGTGGGGTTGATTCACGTGAATTAATTAAGCTGCAACGAAAACGTGTTACATGCTTTATGCTTTGGCCACCTCCCCTCCTCCTCCTCGTGCACCTCTGAAGACCCAAGAGTCCCCACTGATCACACACTGAGACACATTTTTCGAACCAAACCCTAAAAATCAGTGGCGGCGACGCTGCGTAATACCCCGCTGTAGACCCGCGTGAATCGGGAACCCTCCCGCCCCCCTTTTTTTCATTCGTTATTCACGTGCCTTCCTTTCTCTGCGAAACATTTAACACTTGATCAGAAAACGAAATATTCTCGAGGACCGGCCGTGTAACGGAGAGTCCTCCTGAACGGGCGAAGCGTTATGTAAGCGGCTGCAGCTTTGCGCCCCCACCGAGGAGGACACGGAGCGGAGAAAACAGCACGGCTGACTCCGGGAGACTGGAGCCTCTCGAGGTGGAGCGATGATGAAAATAGATTGTGTCTCAGTGATGTTGGGTTAGGGGTGAGGAGGAGGGATGACAACTCAGTCACTTTTTTCTTTTTTCTTTTAAATTTGCGCACAACTGAGCGCATTCATTTGAAGGCAGTGCGCAAAACTGCATAACAGAGCAGATCACCCCATGATAATGTCAGACTTTCTTTCCGGGTGTTCAAAGCTCATAAAAATAGTATTACGTTATCGTGTGGTGAGAGGAGACAGTCGAAGCACTGCTTCTAGCTCTAAAAGATGTTTCCTGCTTAGTTCTCCCAAATATAGACCTGACAGTGGTTGCCTGGTTCTTTGCGCTTCCTTTTTTGTAGCCATTTTATTTCTCGTTTTAGAGAGGAATATTAACCCTGGACAGCCCATATTTTGGCTAGACTTTCATCAAATTGCATTAAATATTCTAGTTTATAAATCTTTAAGATTCAAAAAGGCCTGCACTCAACAGACTCCAGAGACTTTTGTTATAGCAGATACAATAACTGTGCTTTTTTCTTTTCCTTTTCTTTTTTAATCAATTGACTGAGTCAAGGATTTCCCCCCGCCAGTATATTTTCCTGAAATGGAAACCAGACCACAGATCATTCATTAAATTAAGCAATTTGTGAGCCAGCCTGTTGTAGGTTGAAGGGGGCTCAGGTGTGGCCACAGTGCTCCCCAATTCGCCATGTTTGCTTGAGTGAAATATTTCTAAATGTTAGCCACAGTGGCTCACATATACACAGAAAATGACAGAGATTCAAAGGAAAAAAAGAGGAGGAAAAGACGATAATTTGATCCTTATTTATTTATGATGTCAGGCCTGTGACATGTTGTCGGTGAAAACATGCTAAGGTGAGCAGAACAAGCGATGAAGGCAATGATTTTGCGCAAGAGGTAAAGAGACTCGCTCATCAACCAAAAATAATAAATAGACAAATATCAAGAAAAACACAAAAAGTGAGGAAATTCATGACCCCTGTAGCACTGGGGTGTATTTTTACTTCACAGAATTTTTTTTATAACTCTGCTTGTTGACCTCTTTTCTATTAAATACAGGCGAACACAGTGGCGTAAATTGGATGGATCATTCATGATTAAGCGTTTTGTACACACTGACTTTATTCATAAGATCTAATGAAATCCAACGTCATCATATCAATACATGTGATTGTTTTGGTGATGATTAATGAATGAACGAGATACTGGACCTCCGTCTCTTCCCGATCAGCTGATGTTTTGTCTTTATTTTTTCTGCATTTTTTTTCTCTCTGCCCACATCTGTTTATCTGGCGATTCGAAAAGCAGAACACTATTTGATTCTTGTCTTTGCGGGCACAGCACTTTAAACACGTCCACAGTTCAAACGTGGCATATAAAGTCCTGGCAGTGCTGGGAACAAACATGTGAGAGTGAACAGGTGCCTGCAGGAAAGTAACCAACAAGCAAATACATTACAAAAAAATAAATGGTGACACAAATAGAAATGATTTAGGCAATTAAGCAGCAGGAAACCAGAGCCCTGCTTTA